TCGTCGTCTTCTTTTCCCTTTCCTCCCGTGTGTTTAGAGTATCCTGTTGATCCCGCCTTCCAGTTCTCCTTCGAGGAGGTCGTCCTCAAGGGTCTCGCCTCCGATGGCGGCCTATACATTCCCTCCGAGATCCCCCAGGCCGAAAACTGGCAGTCCTGGAAGGACAAGTCCTTCACCGAGCTCGCCTTTGAGATCCTCTCTCTCTACATCTCCTCCGCCGAGATTCCCTCGGAAGATCTCAAGGGAATCATTGAGAGGAGTTACTCCACCTTCCGCGCCCCCGAGACCACCCCTCTTCGCCACCTCAACGACAACTTGTACCTGCTCGAGCTCTTCCACGGCCCGACCTTTGCCTTCAAGGACGTCGCTCTGCAGTTCCTCGGCAACCTGTTCGAGTACTTCCTCGTGAGGAAGAACGAGGGCAAGACGGGACGTGACAGGCATCACCTTACTGTCGTCGGCGCCACGAGCGGTGACACGGGCTCCGCCGCCATCTACGGCCTCAGGGGCAAGAAGGATGTGTCCGTGTTCATCCTCCACCCCAAGGGTCGTGTGTCCCCCATTCAGGAGGCCCAGATGACCACCGTCCTCGACGACAATGTCCACAACCTTGCCGTGACCGGCACATTTGATGACTGCCAGGTGAGTCTGCCACACACATCGTGACGGGGCCCCCTTTGCTCCTCATGCTGACACCTATCCTCTCAGGACATTGTCAAGGCCCTCTTCGCCGACCCCGAAATCAACAAGACGCACAACCTTGGTGCCGTCAACTCGATCAATTGGGCTCGCATTCTCCGCCCAGGTGGTGTCCTACTTTCACGCGTACTTTGACCTCATCAAGTCGTCAGAGACGCTGAAGCTCGGCGACAAGGTCCGCTAAGTGTTCCGACGGGCAACTTTGGGCGACATTCTGGCGGGCTACTTTGCCTTCCGCATGGGCCTGCCCGTGGCCAAGCTCGTCGTCGCGACAAACGAGAACGACATTCTCCACCGCTTCTGGACCCCGGAGCGCTCCGAGAAGCACGAGGCTCACGGCGCCGAGGGCCGCCGGTGGGCCTCGCCCAGGACGGTGCCAAGGCGCACGAGGACGGTGCCAAGGAGACGCTGAATCCGGCCATGGACATTCTCGTGTCCAACAACTTTGAGAGTCTTCTCTGGTTTCTCGCGTACGAGTTTGCCTCGAGCGTCGGCATGGGTGATGAGTGGAACAAGAAGCAGGCGGGCCAGGAGGTCACAACGTGGCTGTCAGAGCTCAAGACCAAGGGCGCTTCGGCCCCGTCTACAAGGACGTCCTCACAAGCGCGCGCCGCGACTTGAGAGCGAGCGCGTCAGTGACGAGCAGACGACCGAGACGATCAGGAACCTGTACACAGCAGCGCGCGTACGTGCTCGACCGCACACGGCGTCGCGTCGCGCGTCGCTGCGTCGATCGAGCGCAGCGGGCCCGAGGTTCCGCACATCTTGCTGTCGGCGGCGCCACCCGGCCCAAGTTTGCCGGCGCTGTTGAGCTGGCGCTCAAAGGACGAGGCCGGCTTTGACTTTGCCGGCAAAGGTGCTGCCGCAGGAGTTTGTCGGGCTCGAGAGCAAGGAGAAGAGGGTGTCGGAGGTGGCGGCCGACTGGAAGCAGGTGCGCACTGTGGTGACGAAGCAGGTCGAGGAGGAGCTCAAAGGCCACTCGAGCTAAAAAGAAGGGGGGAAAAAAGAGTTTCTGCTTCTCCATCGTGGAGTCGAGGTGCGCAAGAGAGGAACGGGGTCTCGCCAGGGGGGGTTAGAGCGTCGGCAACGACATGGAAACGCTGAAACGTGGAAAAGAAGTCATGAATATGGGAGGTAGGTGAAGGCATTTGGAGCACGCGACATGCATGCAGTAACGCTGCTTGGGCGGCAGCGAAGGCAGGGCTGGATCGGCATACGGGGTAGAGTCAACCAATATACCTTGGCCGGCAGGCCTCTGAAGAACATTCCACCTGACCGCCCAAGTGGCGGATGTTGTCTTTGTGGACAATAATCCCGACAGGGCGGGCAGCTGCCACTTCTCGCTGCTGCAGTCGAGCGAGGCGTTGGGCGGACACGTCAGAAAGGAGTCGAGACAGCATGAGTCCGTACGGGGAGGTCCTGGCCAGGATTTATTCACCCTCGTGCGCTTGAGCGAGAGATGCCGACATGTGATCATCAGCGGCCCTTCCCCTTTCACGGCATCGGTGTTGTCACTTATCAGCCCTCACAAAATGGGCGCCACACACACACAAAAAGACACACACGCCCGCCCGCCGGGTTTGCATACAATCCCTGTCCCGTTTCAAAACAACTGCCACTGGGATTCTTGCGCAACAAAAGCAGAAATGTACGAGTATGAGAAGCAGTCGTAGGTTGGAAACATGCCGACTCGGCCTAGTTTCTCGGAACCACAAAGGGTGGGGCTTTTTGGGGCCCTGAGATAAAGTATAAACGCCGATGCCGGGGGGGTGGGCGCCAGTCGTAGGACAACAGACGTGGGTTGGACTTGGGGGAAAGGTTTTGTTGTGTTCCATGGGGACGTGTTAGTCTGAACCAAGCGACGGGACATCGAGGGATATCATGTGATCTCTTGCTTTGCTCGAAGGGGTATCGTGAGAGTACGGGTCGTCCATTGGGTGGTCAATCGGGTGGTCAATCGGGTGGTCAATTGGATGGTCAATTGGGTCGATGAAGGCTGATGATCTGTAGATGAGTCTTTTATTAGGTCCAGGAGGCAGGGAGCCTAGGCGGTGCGAGACGCAACCGCATGATCCTCAATGACCGACCAGCTTGGAAAGCGCTACAGCTCGACGTTGATGCCGTCTGTGGTGGTGTTGTGTATACTTAGGTACCTGTGAGCGAGCACACGCAGAGAAAGACAGAGATGAGGTAAGCAGTAGAGCCCCCCTTCCCGGACCTGAACCCAATTGACTCTTGTACATTCTCTAGACGACTCGACAGACTGACCACCAACCATCAACCCACCGCTCGCAGAATGTCTCACAGAACACCCTTCCCATCAGCATTCCATTTTCATGCTGTGCACGCAGAGCCGCCGTCTTGGGATCGAACCTGTGCGGCCCGAACAAGATCCTGAACAAACGACATGCGCAAACCATGGCGTCACGCCCTTCACGTTGGTGCAACCCGACGTTCTCAGCTGGGTCGGTCCGTCGGAAGCCTCACCGACAGAGGGACACCCCCCCCCGCTCCCCTGCACGTACCAAGGTGCCATTCCCAGCCCCCACGACCCAAAGCAAGCAACCCAGATCAAGAGAGTCAGTCCATCGATACCAGTCCCCCCTCGCCGACCTGCACGCACCCAACCCGAACAACCCCACCAAGCCGACTTCATTGGCCGCGCTCCGGCGTGCGGGCACCACGGCAGGGTTCTCAAGCCTCTGTGCCTTATCGGAGCTTCCAACGAGTGCTGGGCGGCATACGGAATTGATGGAATTTGGTAAGTGATGGATGGGGTGGCCGTGCAAGCCATGGAGGACAGCAACAAGTCACTACCCAAGACGTGCGGTGCGGTGCAGTGCGGTGCGGGGAGCACGCAGATCGCCATCATCGACTTCCCCTTTGAGGCCTGGCAAGTCGGCCTACCCACACCTATCCGCACGCTACGAGTGTAGAGGGGGGGGGGAGCTTTCTCAAAGCTACACCCCCGCACCCAACCCGGACCTGCGCTTGGACTGGCAACTCTCTTTTTTGCGTTGCGGCCGGCCCTCTAGAGGCTCATCGCTCGATCGACTGACACCATCACCACCGACGCGCTAACTGGCACATGGCGTTTCCGCTACCTGCCTTGCCAAGCTGCGGGCAGGCACTGACTTGTGTACCTGCTACCTGCTTCCGCCTTTGTCTTGGGTAGTGCAAGGATTCGAGGCTGCATGCGAACCTAAAAAAGGCGTTGGCTCTCTCGAGCTCCTCCCCCTCCCACTCGCCAACTTGGAGGGTGAGGGCGAGGGCGAGAGAGGGGAAAGCGGCATACTGCATTATAACCCGTGGGCTGGCCTGACGTCGAGCTGCCGTGATCTTTCTTGGTCGCTCTGCTTTCCTCCCGCCCTGTTCCTGACCTCTGCCTACCGGCTCATCGCCCAATATGGCTCCCTCCTATCGCAATGTCGTGCTCGTCGCTTTGGCCGCCATCGCCTCCGCCGATTCTGAACCTACAGTGTGGGGTTCTGTCGCCGTCATCATGAACGGCGAGCGCACTCCCCTGCGCGGCGGTCTCGCGAGCACCATCACACCCCAGGGCGCCCAGCAGATGTACGGCCAAGGCGTCGCCTTCAGGCATCGCTACATTGACGGGACGAATGCGCAGGACAGCATCTTCAGGGCGCCGATCCGCGGCATCGAAAGGGACACGCTCGACAACTCACAGCTCACCATTCTGACCAACACCGACGTCCACACCATCGCCGGCGCCACTGCCTTCCTGCAGGGTCTCTACCCTCCCGTCGATGACGAGTTTCTGGACGAGGCCGGCGGCGTCAGCCTGTCCTACGACGCTGTGACGGACAACTACACGCAGTACCCTCTCAGCGGTTATCAGTACCCCGCCATCAACACCCTCTCCACGCTGGAGGAGACGTCAATTCCGTAAGTGCCGCAGCCAGTGTTCCGCCTAGCCAGCATTCCCGCTGACACGGTGCCAGTCTCCATGGACACAAGGGGTGCTTCAACTGGCTGAATGCCATGGACAAGCTGCCCGAGGATGAGAATATCCGCAAGGAGGCCGACGCCACGCTCGAGAGCTACCGGGAAATCTTCTCCTCGCTACCTCTGGATGGCGCCTTTGCTGACGACTTTCCCTCATTCTGGAACGCCTACGACGTTTTCGACTACGTGCGATACCAAGCCAACCACAACTCCACGATTCACCGGCAGCTCGAGGAACCCGTCCTGTCGGAGCCTACCCTTGCATTTCTTGAACGAAATGCCTTCAAGCAGCAGCTGGCCCTCAACACCGATAGCTCCCTGTCGGGCGCCTCGACGCGCGACCCTGTTCGAAGCATCGCGGGCCAAGCGCTCGCCCAGGGGATCCTGGACGCGCTGGCTGCCGTCGTCTCCTCTCGCGGTGAGACGGACAAGCTCACCCTCATGTTCACCTCGTTCCACCCGTTCATTGCCTTTTGGTCGCTCACCCAGCTCTTGACCACCAGCACCGATCCTTCGTCGCCATACGCCTCGTTCCCGGCCCCGGGTTTCTCCATGTCCTTTGAGCTCATCAGCGACCAGCCCGGCCAGCCCGGCCAATTCCCCTCGAACGACGATCTTCGGGTTCGCTTCGTGATCCGCAATACAAACTCCTCTACCACCTTCCGCGCCGACAATATCTTTGGCACCCCCGTCTCCGAGTACATCATGACGCTCGACTTTTTCGCGACCCAGATGCGCAACATTGCCATTGACGTCGGCGAATGGTGCATCCACTGCTCCTCCCCGCAGCTCTTCTGCGTGGCGCGCCGCGTTTTCCCCCCAAAAGGAAAAAAAAGGAAAACTTCGCCGGGTCTCAAAAGGAGAGGGGGGGGCGCTCGCTTCCTGAAAACGCCCCGGTGGTCGGCGCTCATCCTGGGGGGGGCGCCGAAATTGTTATTCTTGGGCCCCCTTTGCGGGCGGCGGCCGCCTTTTTTTTTTTTTGGGGCGCCCCCCCCCCCCCCCCC